CATAATATCCTATTATAGATTTATACACTTAATCATGTAATATTTGTAAGATTTTACATGATTATCTACAACACTAATCATTTAATTAGGTATTGTACTAATTTAGTAAATTACTAATGTTTATAATATAATGTCATAATTAATTAAGTAGTCATTTCATTATATAATGTTATAATTAAATATGTGAGCATACTATAATGTAATGTTATAGTGAATTAAGTAATCATACTATAAATCTTTAATATAATATTACAATCAATTAAATTTCTAATCATTTAATTAAGTATTGTATTGATGTTTATAATGGAATGTTATAACTAATTAACTAATCATTTAATTAAGTAATCATTTGTTTATAACGTAATGTTATAATTAATTAAGTAATCATACTATAAATTCATAATGTAATGTTATAATTAATTAAATTTCTAATCATTTAATTAAGTATTGTGCTAATGTAGTAAATTATTCATGTTTATAATATATGTCATAGTTAATTAAGTAATCATTTAATTATGTAATGTTATAATTAATTATGTGATCATAATATAATGTAATGTTATAATTAATTATGTGATCATAATATAATGTAATGTTATAATGAATTAAGTAATCATATTATAAATCTTTAATGTAATATTATAATTAATTAAATTTTTAATCATTTAATTAAGTATTGTACTAATGTCTATAATGGAATGTTATAATAATTAACTAATCATTTAATTAAGTAATCATTTTTTATAATGTAATATTATAATTAATTAAGTAATTATACTATAAATCTATAATGTAATGTTATAATTAATTAAATTTCTAATTATTTAATTAAGTAATGTACTAAATTACTAATGTAATGTTATAAACTTATAATTAATAAGTAATCATTTAACTATAATGTAATGTTATAATTGATTAAGTAATCATTTAACTAGTAATGTATTAATGTTTATCAATTTATTTTATATAATTAATTAATTACTAATTTACTACATATATACTTAGAACTTGATAATTGAAGTAAATAATTAGATATTATATTATCATTCAATCAAATATACTATTTTATTCAAAAATAATTCTTTTAATAACATTAAAATACTTTTAATTGGTCCTAATTCCAATTATACACTTAATTAATCAAAACTTTAATATTAATATATTATAATATATTAAATTTTTTTATACGGTATAGTTTATATGTAATAAGTATAATTGTATATTTATTTAATTAGGTTATTGTAGAAATTTAACTTTTTTCCATTTTAATTTTTTTATATGTAAAACTACAATAAACCCCTCATTCTTCTCAGATATTTATTTCAACCCAGGTTCTAAAACAGGGTAATCGCTGCAGGTTCTTTTTTCCAGGTTCCAGCTTCGGTTCCGATTCCTCCACATGTAGGAACCGGAACAGGAACCGCACAGTATCAGTTCCAAAAAAATAGAATCAGAACCTACCCACACAGTGTCAGTTCCGGGTCTACCCGCTACCCATGCTCGCCCCTAGTAAATAATGAAATTGAGTCCATTATGAGTAATCATACATGGGAAGTAGTTAATTTGCCTCCAAGAACTAAACCAATAGGGTGCAAATGGATATTTAAAAAGAAATTAAAGACTGATGGATCAATTGATAAATACAAGGCAAGGTTGGTTGTCAAAGGTTATACACAAAAGAAAGATATAGATTATTTTGACACTTATGCTCTTGTAAAAAGAATAGCATCAACTAGAGTGTTAATTGCTTTAGCTACAATTTACAAATTACATATACATCAAATAGATGTAAAGACAGTTTTTCTTAATAGAGACAGTTTTTCTTAATAGAGACCTGGATGAAGAAATTTATATGAAGTAACCAGAGGGTTGTGTTATCCCAAGTAATGAGTATAAAGTGTGCAAACTGGTAAAGTCTCTTTATGGACTTAAACAAGCACCAAAACAATGACGTGTTAATCTCAAATGGTTGTACAATTAATGATTCAGATAAATGTGTATATTATAAATCATTTGAAGACAACACTTATGTGATAATATGTCTCTATGTTGATGACATATTAATATTTAGTGCTAATATGGATGTGATAGTTAAGACTAAAGAGTAAAGAGTTTCTAGCCTCAAATTTTAATATGAAGGATATGGGAGAGACAAATGTTATTCTTGGGATTAAAATCATTAAGATAAATGATGGTATTAAGTTATCACAATAGCACTATGTTGAAAATTTCTTAAAAAAATTTGGGTATTTAGACAGTAAACCTATCTCAACTCCTTATAATGGAAATACTCAACTTAAGAAAAATATACAATACAGTGTGAGTCAAAATAGATATGCCCAAATCATTGGTAGCCTTATGTACTTAATGAATAGTATGAGGCCTGATATTGCTTATGCTGTCACTAGATTGAGTAGGTATACTCATAATCTTGATAAAAGTCACTGGATAGCATTAGATAGAGTTATTAGATATTTGAAGGGCGCCATTGATTATGGGCTAACGTTTGGAAGTACACCACATATATTAGAAGGATATTCCAATGCCAATTGGATATTAGATTCTGATGAAATAAAATCTACAAGTGGTTATATCTTTACACTTGGTGGAGGTGTTGTGTCATGGAAGTCTTCCAAACAAACTTGCATAGCTCAGTCTACCATGGAGTCTGAGCTTATCGCCTTAGAACAAGTATGTTCTGAGACTGAGTGGTTAAGGAATTTCTTAACAGATCTTCCCATTGAAACTACCCTTCTGTTTCATTATCAATCCATTGTGATTGTTAGGCCGCAATAGCGAGAGCAAAGAGCAAAATTTATAATGGAAAAGCAGACATATCTGGATAAGAAATACCATTATAAAGTAGCTGCTAGAATCTAGGATAGTGAGCTTAGATTTTGTGAAGTCAGAGTTAAATTTGGCCAATCCTCTAACTAAACCACTAAGTAGGAGATCAGTGGAATACACGTTAAGGGGGATGGGACTTATGCCTAAACATAAGGCAAGAGTGATGGTAACCCTACCTATGTGATTGGAGATCCTAAGAAGTAGGTTCATAAGGGTAATAACAAGTCACTTGTTGTCTTGATAAGTATTATCAAATTTTATCTATAGAGAGTCCTCCCTATGGCGAGATAATACTGATTGCAGTGAATAAGGTTGAGTAAAATTACTCTTAATGAAATCCATAGCCAACATAAATACCGGTGTGAAAAACTGCAATTCACACCTTATGGAGGTTCACCTATGTGAGTGTGGAATTTGGTCGATTCCTATGAGAGCTTAGGCAAGCATCTCTAGAGCACCCATGAAATCCAGGCTAGCATAGGGCCATAAAGTGCTAAACTGCAGAACAGTATACAATGTAGAGAATTTAGTATAAGGAACTAATCCTCTGAATTACATAAAGAAATTTTTGGTTCATCGAAACTTAGTTTCACCAAATTTCTGTAACTCATATTTAGTTGCTCAATGATTGGTTCACAGTCCGAAAGACACCAACTAATAAACATTAAATTCTATAATCAGTGGTGATTGGTTATTTTGAAATATGTGGGGGATTGTTATAAAAGCTGGGCTATTATGGTATTTCAAAATACCAATTTTTTAATTAAATTTTTGGACTGTTATGATTTGAATGTAATTAAAATTTTGGACTATTATGACTTGAATGCAATTGCAATTGCTTCAGTTACTTTACAATTCAAATCATGGCTGGGCAATTTCATTTTTTTTAATTAAAAATGGTTGTTATAAAAGTTGGGTAGATTCAATCTTAATAATTAAAAAAATGGTTGTTACATGTAAGAGGCAAGTATAAAAGGGGGTGTTTTATTCTCTTTTATGCAGTGACAATTTTCCTACTTGAGAGAATTCATCTTGCCTCTACATTTTTATTTTTTCCAGCTCTCCTTCACCACTTCTATTTTATCTTATACTGTTCTAAGTTTCTATTAAAGAGTGCACTTTAAATGGAAGCTCGTCATTGTATCCTGGAGGCCGGTCTGTATCTAAGCCATTTGCATTGAGAAGATCCTTCCAGTGGGGCGAAAATCTGATTTTAAGGATAGTGCTTTTGCACGCCTTGACGCTGTTGTGTTTGTTGCTGTTTTGCTATTGTGTTTGTTGCTATTTTACTATTGTATCGTTGTTGTTTTGCTGTTGTCTCTCTACTATTCTTCTACTATTTTGTTGCTATTCTTGCACTATTTTATTGCTGTTGGTTTACTGCTAATTATTGTTAAAAATTCAATAGAATACACTTTTGATGTGGGATCCGTAACATTTCACCCCCACCCAATCATCACAATTGGGAGACCCTGCCTACCCATCCATCTTACTCTTGTGTGGATTCATTATCACACGTGGATGCCCTGTCAACTCATCCATCTCACTCTCAACCAGACCCATTATCACACGCAGACACTCCTTTCTGTGGGCATTTGACCGAACACTGAAAGACGATTCGAGTCTACGCTGATACCAGTCTCATAGGTTGAGAGTTTCACATTCAAAAGGCTAACCCATTTGGTGGAGGGACTCCCCCTTATAAGCTTAAGATCTCCCCGACGCGCTTCCAATGTGGGATTTGTGATACCTTGGATCACTGATCCTAGGTTATAAATTTTTTAAATAAAAATGAAACTAGTGACTCAGTATTATAACAAATCACCTTCATTTTAGGGTCATACTAGATAGATTCTAGTAGTTGTTTCACTTGTACTTCCACCCATTTAACACATAAAACAAACTCCTTGACCTTCTTTCTTTATCTTTTCCTTTCTGAAAATAATAATAAATTGGAAGTTCTTGGTCAAGTCTTCTTATATTGCATTGCACCGCAAAATCGTTTTACTCTTTATAGTAAATTTTCGTTTTAACTCTTTACAGTAAATTTGCCAGTAAAAGTTAAAAGCTCCACATAATATGTGGAAATCTCAGAGCCATCATCATTTTGTTCCACAATGTTACCAAAACTTTTAAGTTATATATCTATCAACTTTACTGTCAAAAAACAAATGAACAACTTTAGCACATAAAACATACTTCTACAATTGAATCTTATAATTATCTCGATCTATCATTTTCTCTTCTTTCATCAAGAAGAGAAGCCCCGGAATTTGAGTACTTGAGTTTAGTTTGGTGAACATGGTACTTGGGCGAAATAGCCGTGAATATTATAATACCACTAAGCAAGGCTAACCCCAGTCCTAAACTATTAACAACCATGGATTCTAGACATCGTTTAGATACACTTCTTCTGCTTTGTAAAAATGTCAGTTTCTCTAAAAGACCTGTTTCTGCAGTCGCTACAGCCAACCCATATGTGTAGAGACCAAGGAAAATATGCCACGGCAATACACTAATTCTTGATGCACGTACCTCCCCTCGATGCCAAAAGCTCAAGAAGCCCACTATCCACTGCAATTTCAATCAAAGTAATTGCAACATTGTTATACTATTCTCTTCATTGTTATATAATACCAAAGCTAATCTTAATATCAGTAAAGTTTATTAACCATCCCAAAAAAATTTGTTGTACAGTAAAACGAAAGTATTCATTTGTGAGTGTACTTAAGAAAGAATGGGAATTTAGCGACACGAGAAATGAAGCCTTGTACTTAAATATCCATTGTACTTTTCTGATTAGCAGAGAGCCAGAGGTCTCTTTCTCTGCTTCTTCTTTGGGCCATCTTGTGGCCCATTTGTTTCATTATTTTATGGGTTGATTCTTTTGCAGGAGAATGATACCCTACACGTTACAAAACTATTGAAAATATCATCTCCCCCCCCCCCCCAAAAAAAAAAAAAAAAATTTTAAATAAATCTGCTTCTGTTTAAGATAATAATGTATTATTATGTTGCTTCTCAATTTAAACTTCTGGAAAGAATTTCTATGGGACCGCAATGAGGGCATTACGCCATTACCATTCACCATACTACTCTACATCAATTATTTTCTCAATTTTGCAGAAAATTCATAACTTGCATTCATAAAATTCAAAGGACTACGAAATTAAAGAATAATTACGACTAAAGATAGAGGGGATTGAAGAGTAAAACCTGAGCTCCAAACAAGCTGACACAAATTAAACCCATCCAAGAATGAAGACTGTAGAAATTAGCCACAACTCCATCTTGGCCATGGAACTTTGTCCAAATTCCAAAGATCCCAGAAGCTAAAGCCACTCCTTGAAGACATAAATGTACTGATTTCTTAAAATGTCTAGAGCCAGGCAACCATCTGTGCACCAGAATTGCTGGACAACCAAAAACAGACAACACTCAAACCCCATTTTCCTAATCACGCATTTTCTTGCTACAATTAACTGCAATATAGTATTACATGTCATCACTACCTTCTCCACTGATGATAATGAAACCGATCACCATCAACAAAGGATGAAGAACCTGTTAAAACAAGGAAACCCCACACCATTTTTAGCTCTTGAATTATGCTGTTAAAGAAAGAAAAAACACGCATGCAGAAAAAGAGAGTAGTTACCGCATAAACGAGGTCTTCCTGAGAAGAAGAAGGAGGAAGGAAACTAGACTGGAAAGCAAGAGCCCATAAAATGACCAAACTTGCAACTATAAGCCCTGATATTCTTGCAATGAACAAGAGTGGAAGTAGTGAGGCAGAGAGAGTGGCCATGTGGGAGTGTTTGTTGTGGGCTGCAGTTTTAGTTTGAGGTGAGAGTGGATTGTTTAGAGCCACCGACAACTGAGCTCTGGATCTACCATAGCACTAGTCCCAAAGCAAGCACTATTTGCAGTGGAGTGGAGTAAAGAAGTGCTTTTTCTAAAAGTTGTTTATTAATTTGGAAAGGATTGATGATGAATAATAATATAACGTATTCTACTATTTTAAACTGCCAATGCAGCATTGTGAGTTGGGCAAAAGCACTTCCACAGTTCCACTCCACTAATTGATGTAATAAAAAAGAAAAAGAAAATAAAGAATATATCTTTTTCAGAAAGTTGATTAATTAAAATATGTACAGATTTTAATGAATTTTACTGAAATTAAAAAATTATAATTTTTTTTTAATTACTAATTTTTTGAAATATATTTATACAATAAGAATTGAAAGCTATAAAAAAAGGAACAATGAAAGGAATGGGTGCTTTTCCCTTGGACCCTTTAGTCAAACAACTTCTCGTTATATGAGAATGGAATGAAAAGAAAAGCAGAAAAGTTAATTAATGTATTAGTATAAATTGATTAATATCGTACGGGTATTAATATAATTATTAAAATTTTCTGAATTAAATGGCTCCGAGCTGCACCCCATTTTCAGCACTTTGACTTCTGCTGGGAAGATTTCGTAACTCGTGTGTAATGTTTGCACATAAATATTAAGTGCCGTTTCTTTCAAGGATCCATGTACTTTATTTGAAATCTTCTACTTTAATATAATAAATACAAATAAGTATTTATTTATATAAAAAAATTGTTTTACATTAAATATTACCTTACAGTTTAGTATTCAATGTTAGGGTTAAAATTAACTTTATATAAGGGTAAAGACGTAATTGAATAAATTTAAATTATTTTTGTTTATAAAATAAATAATAAAAACTATAATTATCAAATTATAAATAATAATTAAAAAAATAAATAAAATATTTAAATTATCTTTTTTTTACAAAATAATAGTTTTTTTATTTTATTAAAATTTCTTTTAGTTTTTAATTTCTTAATTTTTTGCTTTTTCGATTTCCTTTGAAAAAAAAATTGGTTTTGGTTTTTTTTTTTTTTTTTTTTTTTTTTTTTTCAAAACATATTAGATTTAGATTGAAGAACTAAATTCACTTAAAAAAGTCATGAAGAAAAAAAAATCAAAGACATCTAAATTGTTTTATCGTTTTTAGATGTCCCCTAATTGTAGCTAGTCTTAAAAGGTTGTACCTTAATTGATAATATCCCAAAAGGAAACGTAGAAATGAAGACTAGTACAAGAATGTAGAGTTGGGCAAGGGACCGGTCCCTTGAGACTGGTCCCAAATGGGACCAGTCTCTCATGGGCCTGGGACCGGTCCAGGCCCATGAGAAAAACCAGGACCCGGACCAGGCCTTAGGCCTGGTCGGGACTGGTCCCATCGACCCAGGACCGGTCCTAGGACCGGTCCCACAGAGTTTGAAAAATTTTATTTTCCCCCCTCAATTTTTTTTTATATTTTTGGGGCAAAACGAAATTTTATAAGGGGTTTTTAGTATTTTTTAGGGGTTGATTAGTAAGTTTCTAAAATTTTAATTAATTTTAAAAAATAATAAATTAATAGTTAATGTTAATTTTTAACATAAATGTAACATTCACATTTCACACATTCACGCTTCACAAACAAAAAATTAAATAAATTTTTTTATTAAATTATTCATCTTCAATTTCATCGTCAACACTAGTTACATTATTCAAATATGTATTCCTAAAGAGTTCAAGTAGTTCGGGATCTTCAGGGTGCTGTTGTAGTCTTCTTTCTGCATGAGTCCAATCCCGTAAACACGTTATCACTTCAATCATCTTATCAGTTAAAGAACATCTTCTGTCTTCAACAATCTGACCACTCGTTGAAAATGTTGACTCGGATGCAATTGTAGAAACCGACACAGATAAAATGTCACGTACAGGATTATCTACAACACTAATCATTTAATTAGGTATTGTACTAATTTGTAAATTACTAATGTTATAATATAATGTCATAATTATTAAGTAGTCATTTCATTATATAATGTTATAATTAAATATGTGAGCATACTAAATGTATGTTATAGTGAATAAGTAATCATACTATAAATCTTTAATATAATATTACAATCAATTAATTTCTAATATTTAATTAAGTATTGTATTGATGTTTATAATGGAATGTTATAACTAATTAACTAATCATTAATTAAGTAATCATTTGTTTATAACGTAATGTTATAATTAATAAGTAATCATAATATAAATTCATAATGTAATGTTATAATTAATTAAATTTCTAATATTTAATAAGATTGTGCTAATGTAGTAAATTATCATGTTTATAATATATGTCATAGTAATAAGTAATCATTTATTATGTAATGTTATAATTAATTATGTGATCATAATATAATGTAATGTTATAATTAATTATGTGATCATAATATAATGTAATGTTTAATGAATTAAGTAATCATATTTATAACTTTAGAATATTATAATTAATTAAATTTTTAATCATTTAATTAAGTATTGTACTAATGTCTATAATGGAAGTTATAATAATTAACTAATCATTAATTAAGTATACATTTTTATAATGTAATATTTAATAATTAAGTAATTATACTATAAATCTATAATGTAATGTTATAATTAATTAAATTTCTAATTATTTAATTAAGTAATGTACTAAATTATAATGTAATGTTATAAACTTATAATTAATAAGTAATCATTAACTATAATGTAATGTTATAATTGATTAAGTAATCATTTAACTAGTAATGTGATTAATGTTTATCAATTTATTTATATAATTAATTAATTACTAATTTACTACATATATACTTAGAACTGATAATTGAGGAAATAATTAGATATTATATTATCATTCAATCAAATAACTATTTTATTCAAAAATAATTCTTTAATAACATTAAAATACTTTTAATTGGTCCTAATTCCATTATACACTTAATTAATCAAAACTTTAATATTAATATATTATAAATATTAAATTTTTATACGGTATAGTTTATAGTAATAAGTATAATTGTATATATTAATTAGGTTATTGTAGAAATTTAACTTTTTCCATTTAATTTTTTTATATGTAAACTACAATAAACCCTCATTCTTCTCAGATATTTATTTCAACCCAGGGTCTAAAACAGGGTAATCGCTGCAGGTTCTTTTTCAGGTCCAGCTTCGGTTCCGATCTCCACATGTAGGAACCGGAACAGGAACCGCCACAGTATCAGTTCCAAAAAATAGAATCAGAACCTACCCACACAGTGTCAGTTCCGGGTCTACCCGCTACCCATGCTCGCCCTAGTAAATAATGAAATGAGTCCATTATGAGTAATCATACATGGGAAGTAGTTAATTTGCCTCCAAGAACAAAACAAATGGGTGCAAAAGATATTTAAAAAGAATTAAAGACTGATGGATCAATTGATAAATACAAGGCAAGGTTGGTTGTCAAGGTTATACACAAAAGAAAGTATAGATTATTTTGACACTTATGCTCTTGTAAAAAGAATAGCATCAACTAGAGTGTTAATTGCTTTAGCTACAATTACAAATTACATATACATCAAATAGATGTAAAGACGTTTTCTTAATAGAGACAGTTTTTCTTAATAGAGACCTGGATGAAGAAATTTATGAAGTAACCAGAGGGTTGTGTTATCCCAAGTAATGAGTATAAAGTGTGCAAATGGTAAAGTCTCTTTATGGACTTAAACAAGCACCAAAACAATGAGTGTTAATCTCAAATGGTTGTACAATTAATGATTCAGATAAATGTGTATATTATAAATCATTTGAAGACAACACTTATGTGATAATATGTCTCTAGTTGATGACATATTAATATTTAGTGCTAATATGGATGTGATAGTTAAGACTAAGAGTAAAGAGTTCTAGCCTCAATTTTAATATGAGGATATGGGAGAGACAAATGTATTCTTGGGATTAAAATCATTAAGATAAATGATGGTATTAAGTTTCACAATAGCACTATGTTGAAAATTTCTTAAAAAAATTTGGGTATTTAGACCGTAAACTATCTCAACTCCTTATAATGGAAATACTCAACTTAAGAAAAATATACAATACAGTGTGAGTCAAAATGATATGCCCAAATCATTGGTAGCCTTATGTACTTAATGAATAGTATGAGGCCTGATATTGCTTATGCGTTCACTAGATGAGTAGGTATACTCATAATCTTGATAAAAGTCACTGGATAGCATTAGATAGAGTTATTAGATATTTGAAGGGCGCCATTGATTATGGGCCAACGTTTGGAAGTACAACACATATATTAGAAGGATATTCCAATGCCAATTGGATATTAGATTTGATGAAATAAAATCTACAAGTGGTTATATCTTTACACTTGGTGGAGGTGGTGTGTCATGGAAGTCTTCCAAACAAACTTGCATGCTCAGTCTACCATGGAGTCTGAGCTTATCGCCTTAGAACAAGTATGTTCTGAGACTGAGTGGTTAAGGAATTTCTTAACAGATCTTCCCATTGAAACTACCCTTCTGTTTCATTATCAATCCATTGTGATTGTTAGGCCGCAATAGCGAGAGCAAAGAGCAAAATTTTAATGGAAAAGCGACATATCTGGATAAGAAATACCATTATAAAGTAGCTGCTAGAATCTAGGATAGTGAGTTAGATTTTGTGAAGTCCGAGTTAAATTTGGCCAATCCTCACTAAACCACTAAGTAGGAGATCAGTGGAATACACGTTAAGGGGGATGGGACTATGCCTAAACATAAGGCAAGAGTGATGGTAACCTACCTATTGATTGGAGATCCTAAGAAGTAGGTTCATAAGGGTAATAACAAGTCCTGTTGTCTTGATAAGTATTATCAAATTTATATATAGAGAGTCCTCCCTATGGCGAGATAATACTGATTGCAGTGAATAAGGTGAGTAAAATTACTCTTAATGAAATCCATAGCCAACATAATACCGGTGTGAAAAACTGCAATTCACACCTTATGGAGGTTCACCTATGTGAGTGTGGAATTTGGTCGATTCCTATGAGAGCTTAGGAAGCATCTTAGAGCACCATGAAATCCAGGCTAGCATAGGGCCAAAGTGATACATGCAGAACAGTATACAATGTAGAGAATTTAGTATAAGGAACTAATCCTCTGAATTACATAAAGAAATTTTGGTTCATCGAAACTTAGTTTCACCAAATTTCTGTAACTCATATTTAGTTGCTCAATGATTGGTTCACAGTCCGAAAGACACCAACTAATAAACATTAAATTCTATAATCAGTGGTGATTGGTTATTTGAAATATGTGGGGGATTGTTATAAAAGCTGGGCTATTATGGTATTTCAAAATACCAATTTTTTAATTAAATTTTTGGACTGTTATGATTTGAATGTAATTAAAATTTTGGAATATTATGACTTGAATGCAATTGCAATTGCTTCAGTTACTTTACAATTCATCATGGCTGGGCAATTTCATTTTTTTAATTAAAAATGGTTGTTATAAAGTTGGGTAGATTCAATCTTAAAATTAAAAAAATGGTTGTTACATAGTAGAGGCAAGTATAAAAGGGGGTGTTTATTCTCTTTTATGCAGTGACAATTTTCCTACTTGAGAGAATTCATCTTGCCTCTACATTTTTATTTTTCCAGCTCTCCTCACCACTTCTATTTTACTTATACTGTTCTAAGTTTCTATTAAAGGCACTTTAAATGGAAGCGTCATTGTATCCTGGAGGCCGGTCTGTATCTAAGCCATTTGCATTGAGAAGATCCTTCCAGGGGCGAAATGATTTTAAGGATAGTGCTTGCACGCCTTGACGCTGTTGTGTTTGTTGTGTTTTGCTATTGGTGGTTGCTTTTTACTATTGTATCGTTGTGTTTTGCTGTTGTCTCTCAATTCTTCTACTATTTTGTTGCATTCTTGCACTATTTTATTTGCTGTGGTTTACTGCTAATTAGTAAAAATTCAATAGAATACACTTTTGATGTGGGATCCGTAACATTCACACCCCACCCAATCATCACAATGGGAGACCCTGCCTACCCACCATCTTACTCTTGTGGGGATTCATTATCACACGTGGATGCCCTGTCAACTCATCCATCTCACTCTCAACCAGACCCATTATCACACGCAGACACTCCTTCTGTGGGCATTTGACCGAACACTGAAAGAAGATCGAGTCTACGCTGATACCAGTCTCATAGGTGAGAGTTTCACATTCAAAGGCTAACCCATTTGGTGGAGGGACTCCCCCTTATAAGCTTAAGATCTCCCCGACGCGCTTCCAATGTGGGATTTGTGATACCTTGGATCACTGATCCTAGGTTATAAAATTTTTAAATAAAATGAAACTAGTGACTCAGTATATTAACAAATACCTTCATTTTAGGGTCATACTAGATAGATTCTAGTAGGTGTTTCACTGTACTTCCACCATTTAACACATAAAACAAACTCCTTGACTTCTTTCTTTATCTTTTCCTTCTGAAAATATAATAAATTGGAAGTTCTTGGTCAAGTCTTCTATATGCATTGCACCGCAAAATCGTTTTACTTTATAGTAAATTTTCGTTTTAACTCTTTACAGTAAATTTGCCAGTAAAAGTTAAAAGCTCCACATAATATGTGGAAATTCAGAGCCATCATCATTTTGTTCCACAATGTTACCAAAACTTTTAGTTATATCTATCAACTTTACTGTCAAAAAACAAATGAACACTTAGCACATAAAACATACTTCTACATGAATCTATAATTATTCGATCTATCATTTCTCTTCTTTCATCAAGAAGAGAAGCCCGGAATTTGAGTACTTGAGTTTAGTTTGGTGAACATGGTACTGGGCGAAATAGCGTGAAATTATAATACCACTAAGCAAGGCTAACCCCAGTCCTAAACTATTAACAACCATGGATTCTAGACATGTTGATACACTTCTTCTGCTTTGTAAAAATGTCAGTTTCTTAAAAGACCTGTTCTGCAGTCGCCACAGCAACCATATGTGTAGAGACAAGGAAAATATGCCACGGCAATACACAATTCTTGATGCACGTACCTCCCCTCGATGCCAAAAGCTCAGAAGCCCACTATCCACTGCAATTTCAATCAAAGTAATTGCAACATTGTTATACTATTCTCTTCATTGTTATAATAACCAAAGCTAATCTTAATATCAGTAAAGTTATTAACCATCCCAAAAAAATTTGTTGTACAGTAAACGAAAGTATTTATTGTGAGTGTACTTAAGAAAGAATGGGAATTTAGCGACACGAGAAATGAAGCCTTGTACTTAAATATCCATTGTACTTTTCTGATTAGCAGAGAGGCAGAGGTCTCTTTCTCTGCTTTTATTGGGCCATCTTGTGGCCCATTTGTTTCATTATTTTTGGGTTGATTCTTTGGAAGGATGTCTGTTTAAGATAATAATGTATTATTATGTTGCTTCTCAATTTAAACTTCTGGAAAGAATTTCTATGGGACCGCAATGAGGCATTACCATTAACCATACTACTCTACATCAATTATTTTCTCAATTTTGCAGAAAATTCATAAACTTGCATTCAAAATTCGAAGGACTACGAAATAAAGAAAAATTACGACTAAAGATAGAGGGGATTGAAGAGTAAAACCTGAGCTCCAAACAAGCTGACACAAATAAACCCATCCAGAAGAAGACGTAGAAATGCCAAAATCCATCACTGTTGATGGAGTTCCGTATCTGCAAGAACAACCGGGCATCCTCTCTCAACCATGTTTGCTTTGAATCGTCTTCAGACGAATTTTTGGTGAGATGATCATCTTTACCAATGCTTCGCAAATAAAGACGAATTGTCTTACTCCAATCAAAATAGTTATCAGACCCATTAAGCTTATGTTCCGTAATTTTTGACATTACAGGAACCATATCAATTATAGACTTATCAGTCATGGTAAGAAGACGAAAATAGCCAACAAAAAAAAACTCTTCAAAGAACAAACTCTATACCAACAGAAACCAACAAAACTGATACCAACAAAACTGTTCTGACCTGGCTGAGATACTGAGGAACTAGTCACACAGAATTTCCGAAAATAACAAGACGAAGCCGGGAAGGGCACTCTCCAGGGTGACTCACAAATAATGCTCACTTCGGCAGAAAAGAAAAAAAAACGAATTGAAAAAAAAAAACCAACCTAGAATTGCTCTGATACCATGTTACAAACAGAGAACTGATTGTAATATTTTTTATATTGTATTGACAAATTATACATCAATATATATAGGAAAATAAATAATTAATCTAGAAAATAAATAATTTAATCTAGGAAATAAATATTCTAACTTCCTATTTTACAGATTTGTTCCTAATATTTATTGATTACAATCTTAATATCCTATTATAGATTTATACACTTAATCATGCAATATCTGTAAGATTTTGCATGATTAACTACAACAATTTTCAACTTATACTTTGGTCAAAAAGGTGTTTGTTAGAACTTATATAGTAAATGCTACTGTTGGACTAGTACCTATTTATTCAAGCTTTTTGGTTAGGTGATAACTTATCAAGCTTTCCAGTAGTGGTTAAAGCATACAAGTCTGATCTTAGAGCAGCATGGCAGCATCATAAAGTCCTTAGTTGCTTATCGGTGGTTTGAGTTAGATGATTGCACGATAGTCCTAGTGTCACTTTTTGATTGGCAACATAATTTAAACTGAATCGCTGGTTCACTTAGCAAGAAACATCCAAGGCACATTTAAATGCAGATGCAATGATCTAACATGATGTGATACATTTCAAGATTTCCAGTGATAGAAAGTGATGTTGCCACAATCTGCAACTCTGCTATGGTTACTTCCCTTTTTTTTTACCACCGTTTCCAGATGCCTGGGTTGGGGTGGGGGAAAGGGGATTGAATTTTTACTAATGCATCCTTAACTTCTTTCAGCAAATAAGCCAACAACTTCATGGGTTATGGTCAGCTCCATTCCGTATCACAATAGCTATGGTTCTTCTTTACCAGCAACTAGGTGTTGCTTCACTCCTTGGATCACTGATGCTAATGCTCATGGTCCCAGTACAGGTAAGAAATTTCTGTCCTTGTCAAATCTCTGTCATTATTTCTGCAGATCTTGTTTTGTCATGAACGTAGTAACTTTCTAGTAAAACTGTGTGTACCAAAGTACATGCTACTACTTTCTAAGGCTAAAACTACTGTTAGAGCATAAGTAAAGGATATCAGTTTTTGATAGTAAATTACCATTTGCAATTTTCACCATGCACTTAACATCTGCTCTACCCTGGCTAAAACATTGTATTTGTGAGACATTCTCGTGCCTATTTTTGTGCCCTTCGTTGAACTAAGCTTAAATCAGGAAATGTAGATATAATCAGTGTTCTTCAAGCTTAACATTTTTCTCGTCTTTCATTAATTATCCTATATAATTTTCTCATTGGTTTATGGAACAGACAATCGTCATTAGCAAAATGCGAAAACTGACTAGGAAGGACTGCAACGGACTGACAAAAGAGTCAGCCTCATGAATGAAATTCTGGCTGCATGACACCGTAAAGTATGATTGTTTACAAGCATTGCCTTTAGATTTCTGAAAAGTTTTATGTTTGATAGTGATTTTCAACACTATGTGGAAATGTTTCAGATGCTATGCATGGGAGAAGAGCTTCCAATCTAGAGTTCAAAGTATGCGAAATGATGATGTTCATGGTTTCGTAAAGCACAATTACTTTCTGCGGTATGATGTGAAACACAATCTTAAATACTATCTTCTTTCTTCTATCAATGTCCTATCAATGGTGTCACTGCCTTTTACTAGTATACTCTTTAGGCAGTTCTGTATAGTTGCATCAAAGTAGTAAATGATGTATCATTTCCGTAGGGATGATCCCTTAGTATGCAGAAAATATACCGTTTTAAATTTAAATTTAGATGGGCCATTGATTATCTCATTATAACTTTATATTCTTTTAACTAGATCCCTTCTATTGCAGTTTAACAGTTTTATACTGAATAGCATCCCAGTTGTCTGTGCGTGGTTTCATTTGGAACATTCACTTTGCTGGGTGGGGTTTGACACCCGCAGCATTTACATCACTCCCTCGTTTTGCGTGCTAGATTTCCTTTAAACATGCTTCCTATTTATTAAGTCGGTACTGTCTATTTTCCCTCTCTTACATTTTGTTGCGAACCTACCCAGACTTCTCAGTCAGTCACACACACATACTCATAACAGAACAAAAAGCAGTTCATTGCAACCTCGAGAATTCTAGAATAACAGAAGAGGTGTATTCATTGATAACTCAGTATTACACTAATCTAGATAGTATCTCAAATATAAGATCTATCGGATTTATTAACCACAATGAAAATAAGAGAAACCAATAATAGAATATAATAGAAACAGATATGCTGGCTTCGGGGCCAACTACCTCCCCTTTTCCTAACTTCTCTCTCGATCCTATTTACTCCTCTGCTGCTCCTTTATTCATTTCTTCTCCTAACAAATTTATCCCTCCCCCAGTAATCTTTCGCCACCTGTCCCACTACCGTCAATTCACACTTTAGTTGCTTCTTTAACACTTTGATCCCCTGGTGCTTCTTCCCACGCCTCTTGTACCCCCCGCACTTCGCGTGTTGTATCAATACCCTCCCGAGGGAGAGCCACCTTGTCCTCAAGGTGGAATGAAGAAAATTGCAGTTTCAGGTGTCATATTCTTCCCAAGTATTCTCATGGTGGGGTAACCCCTTCCTTTAACAGAACCTCCTTTCCCCATTGATAACCTGCGAGCTTAAGCACTTCCTCCGTTCAACAACTAAACCAAGTCCTCATTCAGCGAATCCGAAAGAGGTTGAATATGTGGTGATGGAAAATTGGCCTTCTTAAGTTAACACATGATGCATTATGGATACGGGCAGTTTCTGGTAGTTCTAACCTGTAAGCGCTGATCCAATTTTCTCAAGGACTTGGAAAGGGCCATAAACCTGGGACTTAGCTTTTCATTGCAGCAGAAAGCTAGAGATTTCAGACGGTAAGGTTGTAGCTTCAGGTGGCGATTCTCCCACTTCAAACTGGACATCCCTTCTCTTTTCATTGGCAGAAGTTGTCATGCGTTTTGAGCTTTGTGCAAATTTTCCTTAAGCTCAAGTAAAATGTTGTTGCGGTCTGCATTTGTTGATTAACTTCATCCACCGGAGAACTATGTTCTGTGTATTTCAGCAATGCTGGAGGATCTCATCCGTATAAGCTTTGAAAGGGCTCATACCAGTGGAGCTACTATATGTAGTGTTGAACCAGAATTCTGCCCACGGAATCCAGTGAGGCCACTGCCGAGGCTGATTTCCCACAAAACAGCGGAGATAAGATTCCAAACACCTATTACACCCCCCCATCCGTCTGTGATGATAAGCTGAGCTCATATGAAGTTAGTTCCAGCCTGCTTGAACAATTCTCCCCAAAAATGGCTCATGAACACAGACTCGCGATCCGACACAATCGTTCGTGGAACCCATGAAGCTTAACTACATCTTTAATAATGCTGCTGCCACTTCCTTTGCTGTAAAAGGTGTCTGAGTGTGAGGAAATGGTTGTATTTAGTGAGTCTGTCGACTCCCACCAGGATATATCCACATTGTGCACTTTTGGGAGTCCCACTATAAAGTCCATAGAGTTGTCTTCCCAAACCGGAACAGGAATAGGGAGAGTTTGTAGTAATCCGGCTGGCCGCAATGCTTTATATTTATTCTGTTGACACACTGCAGGAGTTCACATACGTCTGATATCCCTCTTCATTCCATCCCAATAAACACATTCATCAACCGTTTGTAAGTTCTGAAAAATCCAGAGTGACCTCTAATCGGGGATGAGTGGAATTCATGCAAAAGTTTTTGAATATGAGGCTTTGTTTCGGGACAACCAACCTGTTAGTACTGAGGTGTCTACCCATTACTTGAAAGGAGGATGGCAATGAGGGTCGACCATAAGCTGCTGGGTGATTTGCCGCAACTTGTCATCTTTTTGGATGGTCTCTTCCAATTCATCCAACCGTCCGAAAAAGCCCATTGATATGGCGTTAATTTCCACACTTTCAGGCCGCCTGGATAAACATCAGCGGCTTTGTTTCTCTGGCCGGGTCAATACTGTATTTCAAACTGTAACCCGAGTAGTTTTAACACCCATTTCTGTTGGTCTTCATTCAGCACCCTCTGTTCAGTAAGGAAATGGGGCTTTTCTGGTCAGTTCTGATGAGAAGCATCGGCCTAACAAATAATGTCTCCATTTCTGTACTGCCAACACAATAGCCATCATTCTCTTTCATAAACTGATTTGAGTTTTGAATTGGCAGACATTCCTTTACTGAGAAATGCAAGAGGCCTCCCTTCCTGCATTAAGACAGCTCCCAACCCACACCCGGGCGTCCGTTTCAATACAAACTGTTTAGAGAAATTCGGCATTCTTAGCACTGGTACACTGGTTAGGCAGATTTCAGAGCTTCAAATGCGGCTTGAGGTTGCTCACCCCAAATGAGGCATCCTTTTTTAACAGGTAGTCAGGGAAGTGCGATTTTACCGTACCCTTTACAAACCGTCTGTAGTACCCAGTCAGTCCAAGGAACCCTCTGAGTGTTTTAATTCTTTCGGGCGGGGCAACTCGCAATACTCTCATTTTAGAGGGATCCACAGCCAATCCGTCTGCTGAAATAAATGGCCCAATATTCTAATTGGGGTTGCCGAAGAAACATTTTTTTCGGTTGGCCACTAATTGGTGTTCTCGTAGCTTTTGAAATGTGAGACTGAGGTGCTGCATGTGGTCTTCCATTGACTTGCTGTACACAAGAATATCATCAAAAAAAACCAGAATATTTCCAAGGTAAGACCTGAATACCTCATTCATCAAAGCTTGGAATGTGGATGGGCGTTGGTCAATCCGAAGGGCATAACTGGGAATTCGTAATGCCTTTCATAAGTGCGGAAAGCCGTCTTGTCTTGTCTTCAGATCGCACTCGATTTGGTGGTAGCCTGACTTTAAGTCCAGCTTGGAAAATACCTCAGCTCCCCCAAGTTCATCGAACAATTCATCAATGGCCGGAATAGGAAATCGGTCGGGGATGGTCAGTTTATTGAGTGCCCTATAATCTACCAAAACCTCCACCACCATCCTTTTTCTTAACAAACAGCACCGGACTGGAAAAATGACTGATACTAGGCTAAATAATTCCTGAGGCTAACATCTCCCCATATCTTCTCAATTTCGTTTTTTTTTTTGGTAAAACGGATATCTATAAGGCCTAAGGTTTGGGGGTTGGGCATCTGGTATTAACCGAATTGCATGATCCTGGGGTCTACTAGGGGCAATTCCGGTAAAGGCTCAAATACAGATCTGAATTTTTCTAACACTGAATACAAAATGGTTTGAATTCTCTTTCTTTTCAGAAGATCTTTCATTATATAGGCAAGACTGCCAGTTATACAAGAAACTTAAATCTGTACATGCTAATTACATAGAGTGATTTTAGGAAGCTAAACATGGTAAGCTAAATCAATCTCCTCTCCTTTAATGGAGTATATACAGCCTAGTTAATAGCTATTAACAATGCAGAATTTAGGGCATATATGGCCTTCTATTGACATGGAAGCAGCTTGCTACTGACATGGCCTCTTCATCTGACTGTTTTTGCAGCTGCCCAAATTCAACCATATATCCAGTTCCCTCACTCCTCAACGTTCTAATCATGGCTTCAAGGAAACCATTGTTTTGCTAAGTGCAGGATCCCTATAATTGTCACCGTTTCCTCACCCAATTTAAATTTCATTACCTACTTCCTCCAATTCATTGTAGTTTCCCCTAATGTTTCCACCAAGCCATGCCTAGCACTACATCTGCACTACTCATGTCAAAGAAAAAAATCTTGAATTATTTGTACCCTCTGGACTTCCAAACGTACTGCCTTACACTCTCCCTCACATCGACTTTATATCCATCTCCAACTCTCACTCCAAACGCCTGTGTTCTTTCTACAGCAATAGCCAACTTCTTTACAAACTCTCGGCTAATGAAATTGTGGGAACCCCACTGTCAATCAAGATAATAACCTCCTGACCCATAATACTTCCCTTCAACTTCATTGTTTTTGGCCATTGATTCCAACAACCGAGCTAAGGGAAAGTTCAACATTACCTTGGATTGTTCTGTCGTCGCTACTTCACTGGTTTCCACGTCCCCCAGATCCAATCTTCTTCTTCTTCATCAACAAGGATTACTTGAAACTGTTTCCACCACCTTATGGCCAAAGAAATACTTCCCATCACACTTGAAGCACAACCCTTTTCTCTCTTTTCCTTTGTATTTCGGCCTCCGTCATTTTTCGAAAAGGAAATTCACATCGCGGTGGATGGTTCTGTCGAAGGATCTGAAGGTTGTAAGGTGTATTCGCGAGGAGAGGAATTCACCGATGAACCTACGGCAGTACCATCTACGTTTCGTCGCCCGGAATTTGAGAATGAATTGGTT